ATGGGTTTTATAAAGGTGAAGCAGGTTGGCTGTTGGGAGGGTTGGCTGAGTGGATGCTGAGGGCGAGGAGCAGGTCTCACTGTGAGCACTGGAGGTGCAGAGGACACCTGGAGAACATCAGATTAATTGGAGGTTTTCCCTTGGTTTTCAAATAGCAGAAATTTCTGTGGAAAGAAAAGAAAAATTAGAGAGAAAAAAAAAAAACATGATTAAAAGTCTCAATGCTAGAAAAGTTGTGGAAAATGCTGAAGTTTCTCATTTTTTTGAGGGAGGGAGAAATAACCCCTGAACCTCTTTGAAGGCTGGAGTGGTGAAGCTACAGGAGATTGTTTTCTTTGGGTTGTTGTTCTTTTTCTTCTTCAGCCTATGGTTTCTGTTTCAACAGTTAGCAGAACCTAAAGAGCATGTGATGAAATGCTGCTGTAATATGTTTGTAATTCCAGCCTATGTAAACCAATAAAAAGAGGATTGCAGCTTATAATGAATATACGATTATGTGAAACTTGACATATTTTGAATCACACAGTAGGAACATACTTTTATTAGTAATTTGGTGTCCCTGATTTACAGTGTGTTTCTAACCATTGGGCAGCTGGCCACGGCTCATAACTCAACCCACTGTATAATATGGGACTTGGCTGGAGAATCCAGAGATCTATTAAATGTAGGTAACAATTATAAGCTGAGACGTGCAACGTTCCTGGGGTTGTAAGCATCTATCACTGGAAGCCATGGGGGGAGAAGGTGGAGGCTGCAGGTTTTCAAGCCTTCTTGGGTTGGAGGAGGAAGGACTGAAGTAGTAAAAACTTAAAAGGGTGTTGGGAGTAGCTTTGATAGGCAGAGTTAGAGAGTTCTGTGTTGTTGGGGAGAACAGCTCTCCAGGGTAGGCGAGTGTGGTGGGCAGGTTGCTGATGGTGTTTTCACAAGGGCTTTGTGTGGCCTGGGGAGTTGGCCATCCCTGCTGCTCTACCACTGCCGTGACCTGCTGAGAGGCTGGGGTGCTTTTTAAGCATGTTTCTGTACATGGGCTGGATGTAGGGAGCTTTTTTTGTTATCATTTTCTGCTGTTCTGGACGGGGTTTGCACTGGCTCACCCGTTCCCTCCTCCTCTTGCTGACTAATGGCTCTTGAGACCCATCTTCCAGCCAGGCTGGTGAAATGTTTGGGTGTGTAGAGACCACTGTTAATAGTCCCCCACGAGTCAGCTCCTGGGGGTGCTCAGTGTGGGGCCAGCCACCTCCCCTAGGCTCAGGCAGCTGTAACCAGGGCTCATTGTGAGCCTGTCCTGCCCTTTGCCTTGCCCAAGGCTCGAGCTGGAGCTCAGCACCCCATGGCCAGTGCTCTGTGGGGAGAGCCAGGGTTGCAAAGGGGTCCCTGGAGTGGTCCCAGCTGGAAGCAGCTCTGCTGATCCTGCAGCTGGAGGTCCTGGGGCCAGAGCTTCAAAACACAGAGGCAGGATTTCTGTGAAACTTCCCTGCAGGTCTCACACATGCCACTTAAAAGCCTGTACAGACAGTGCATGCTAAAAACCTGGGGATGGAGCTGTGGTTCGTGACTGTCCTTCATCTCCACTGTCTCATGTCATCAGGAGGGTGCAGTCAGAGAGCTCCTGTATCATGGGAGTCATCAGAGTAACAGATAAAAAGCTTTTCTTCAGCTTGTTAGGTGCTCTGGAGGTGTTCAAGAAACATGTAGATGTGGCACCTGGGGGTGTGTTTTAATGGTGATGGCAGTGTTGGGTGATGGTTGGGCTTGATGATCTTAGAGATCTTTTCCAACCTTAATGATTCTGTGAAATATGGGACAAAGAGAGGAGCTGGTGCAAGCTGAAGACGCTCATGAGGGAGTGGGGAGACACTTGTTATATTCTCTCAATGTCTAGAGCAAGTGTTAGGCTCTGATCTGGGAATCCAGACTGATTTCCATAGGAATCACCTTTCAGGCTGCAGCCCTTCCTTGGACTGGCACAACTGCAGTGTGATAGAAGGGAGCATGGGAGGACCTGAAACATGGAGTTTGCCATCTGCTTTTCTGCTGAAGAGAGGAAAGGCTGCTGGACAGACAGGTTCTCTCTGGGTTGACCCACCAGGATCCAGCTGTACCAGGAGGCCATTGACTCATGTTGCCACGCTGGCTCTCAGGAACAAAACCCAATGTCCTGTTGTGTCCCACAGCATTACCAAGGAGAGAACAGAAGTCATCCTTCAGGGGACATCCAGCCTGGATCCCAACGACCCCACTGCTGTCTGGGAGGAGTATGATTTCAAATGCAAGCCTGGGGACTTGAAGAGGAGGCCGTGCTTCATCACCCCCTACCACTACCGCCTGGACTGGCTGATGTGGTTTGCTGCCTTCCAGGTACCTTGCCTGTGGGTGTCTGGAGACTTGGGTGTCCCTGGACCAGGAAAACCCATTTAGATGAATTTACTATGTGTTGGGGTGGGTGAGGGGATATATGAAGCCCTGGCTGAGTTAATTACATTGAAAAAAAACATAAAAAAAGAAGGTTGTATTCCTAAGGGATGTCTGCTGCTAGTGTAATGAAACTCTTGGAAATTTTATGTGAGGCTTTTTAATTGTTTCTCAGCAGTAACAAGAGTTAAAGACAGTGAGAAAGGCCCTGGACTGCACCTGCCTCGTGAAGGTGGAACAGTGGGGCAGAATCTGCCCCACAGGGTGCCCAGGACTTGCCAGGGGTTGGCAGCATCCCCGGGGGTACCCACCTCCCTCCTGGGGACACCCCTGGGGACAGCAGCTCTTGCTCCCCTACCCGCCTGCCTACGTATGGATGGAGGCACCTCCAACTATTTTCCCCATGTGGTATCAGCAAACAGGTGACAGCCATAAATTTAAAAACAAGAGAAGAGGGAGGGAAACTTGTCACATTAATTCTTGTGTCTCTTTGAGCCCGTTCTGCAAAATCTCCTTCGCGTGAGCGCGAGAGCTTGGGCCGGGTTTTACAAACCCAGGGCTTAGAGCAGTGGCAGGAGGCAAACCCATCTCCCATTATCACGGGCTTTTCCCTTTGTTCCTCCAGCCTCTCCCCACCGTATCCTCTTCCCTGGGTCCTCTCCCCCTGCCCCAAACTTCTCTGTTTGCTTTCTTTGTGGTATTTTCGCTGCGGCGCCTTTGGGATTCCTGGGCGCTGACATCACCGGGGCTGCCTGGCTGGGGCTGGAGATCTGCCCCGCTCCTGTCTCTCTGCTGGAATTTCATTTCATCTGCATTAGGGACGCCAGCAGTGCTGCCCAGCATTGCATAGAGGTGCAGGAGGTTGAATGGGAGCTGTTGGTTGAGATCTGGTTTTTTGGGAGGGTTGGGCAGCTCACCCAACCAAAAGTTGTACCTGCGGAGGAGAGGAATGTTTCTGAGATGAGAGAAAGGCTGTTTGCTGCCAGGGATATCCCCAAAGCTTTAAAAAACAAAGAGATCTCAGGTTTGAAACAGAAGGAGGACAGAGCACAAATCCTGATGGGTCACAGGGGACCATGGATGGTGCTGGTGCTGAGAGTTGTCCCAGCCCAGCACTGTCCCTCCACAGAGCCCGGCTGGGTGCTGAGCGCCCAGGAGGTGCAGGGAGCCTGGGGAAGAGGAGCAGGATAGCACCTGATCAGTTTGTGTGTATGGGCTTCTAATTCACTGCAAGCTTCCCCCAATGTTTCTGCTGCTGCTGGAGTGGGTGTGTGCTGAGGTGGCTGTCACAGAATCCCAGCGTGGTGGGGTTGGAAGGGACCTCTGGGGACCATCTCCTCCAACCCCCTGCTCCAGCAGCTCACCCACAGCAGGGTGCCCAGGGTCACAGCCAGGAGGGTTTGGGATCTCTCCAGAGCAGGAGCATCC